ATTCTTTTGGAAATGTTCTCTTAAAAAACTGGTTGTAGGAAGGTTGACAATGGCCGCTACTGTTTGTTCAGAATATTTGGTATAAACGTTACTACCTCTGTATGATAAGGCGGTATTATGGTAGGATACCTACGTCATCAGCCATATGCCACCAATTGTTAAAATTTTTTAGTATCACAGTGGATACCTCATAGTATCATGGCAGTAAACTAACATCCACCGGCGGCTATTACAGGTATCTTTGTATAACACTATGAGATGTAATTTTGGTGTTCTAAATATGTTCGGGAGCACAATAGCTTTCGTTAGCAAACATCTATTTCTCTTTGGAAGAGAAATTTCATTTCACAAAAACAAAGTTACATACTTAAATTAGTCGTAAGTGAGCCTCATTTACAAGAGAAATCAACCCTGAAAAAATAACTGCATCCACCAGTGACGACAAATCAAGCATAGGGACAAAACACGTGTTGTGACCTAATGGGAAAAACCAGCTCGGCACATACAGATTAAGCACGACCAAGGCTCGTTATACAGAACACTATAGTTGATGGATAAATCAATCAATTGAGACCAAATCTCAAATCATTATTATCAACCTGATTCAAATCACTCTGAATCATGATTCAAATCATGGATCATAGATTTAAATTAAATTACTTAAATCACCTTGATTTCAATCCTTATACCAAACGGACCCTTATTCTCAACGCACCTGACTCAACTAATTTTTATTATAAGAATAATTGACATAAACGGTCCCTATTCAAACACCATATTAATGAACAAATCATTATTATCCATCCACCAGATCCACTCAACACTCAACCTCACAATGTGGTAACATTAACGTCCTAATCAATGGCAATTTCACCCAATAACCTTCCTTCTCCAAATGGGTTATGTAATATGTAATCTCAATCCCATGGAGTCTACACAATCAATCTTGTTCTTAATTTCTTCCAACAAGTACAATCAGATTATCACGAGCAAGATCCGAGGCTTATTGTTGATGATATTCGGAAACTTCGGGATTGTTAGGATCGTCGATCTTAGTCTCGGCGAGGTCATCGGAATCATTGGGGCCACCATCCGAGCGCATCTCGGTGAGTTATAGTTGGTCTCCTCGATGATCACGCAGTTGCCCTAAATCTGTTTAATTTGACGTTTGCACAACAGAAAGAGGCAGTTAGAACGAGCATTTTCTCAAGCAGATGGAGGAAACTACGGAAAACATCATTAAAGATCCTCGACCTTGATACCAAGAATTGTACCAACATTGATATTGAAGATCTTGATCTCGATGATGATGCTGTTGTGAGATGGGTCAATCAAATTTTAGCACTTTACAAGTGTACCAAGTTAGAGGCCTTCCCACTAATACGTCCGTCATTGCACGTAGATTACAGTCATGAGATTGACAAGTGGATTTGTTTTGCGCTATCTAAGAAAGTCGAAAAGCTTAACATATCGGTATATATGTACCAGTACGCTCATTATCTTACGGGAGAAGATCCCTATTCATTTCCTCATCAACTATTTAATGAGGAAATATCAAACAATAACCATTCCAGTTTGAAGCACATATGCTTGGAGTATTGTAGGTTAAATCTTCCACCAAATTTCGGCGGTTTTTGTAGCCTCAAATCATTGATCAGTCTTCTAAATGTTCAACTGACTAAAGCAGCTATGCTCAACATCTCAACCAACTGCTTATCCCTTGAGTGGTTAAGCACGGAATCGTTTTCCTCTACTTCCAAGCGCTTCAAGTTTGGGAGTGGATTCTACTCATGCCCATTGAAGCACTTGTATATATCTTGTTGTGATGACGATTTATAGCAAATGTCTATCAGCAAAGACAATGTATATTCCAGTTCAAACATGTATTATTAGTTCAACTAAGTGAACAAATAATAGTATGTATGTACAGTTATTGAATTGTGGTAGTTCATGTTTTTTATTTTTTTTTTATTTTTATTTTTTTGTCGTAGTAGTATGTTCTAATTATACCAATAACAAAATAAAT